TTTTTTACTGAACATGGATTCTGATCAGAAAAAAAAATAATAATAGTAACACATGGGTAACAGTGAAACTAATGCATTCTTCTTACTGCTAAGAATCAAAAATGTTTCCTGAAAATTTCTTCAGAACCAAAAAGAGTATGTTGGTGTTGATCGGTTCACATTTTACATTAACCAGGACAAAGGATTATTTTGTAAACTCGAGGCAATACCCACCGAACGAAATATAATACTGTAGGCCCACGTACAACCCTCAGGGCCAGCTTTGCAGTACAGCTTATGGAATTATACTTCCCACGTTTGCGAGGCCTGACTTTAATCGTCTTTTCGGTGTCGAATACTCGCAGTCCGGGTTGGATTCTTAAACGCGGTCGCGGATATTATAATAATGATATAATATCGTATCGGACCAGCCAGCCACCGCATAGTGTAAGACGTGAACGTTTGTATTGGGATCAATATTTTCGAAAAAAATGTCGTAAATATTAAATTCCTCCAAGGTTGGGTGAGGATAAGTGAGGATGTTCAAATTGTTAATCCGTTCAAAGCCTTTAAAATTTGCCTTAATTATTTTAAATAATATTTTAATATTAGAGTAATTTGCGTTTATGACAGTTCTACGACAATCCAAAAAGTTAATAGTGTTGTAGCTGAGGTAGGTGGATTAGGTGAGTGGATAGAGATTAGTTGAATGATTGACAGGCAGGATGTATTTTAGTATGAATACTAGATGTACAAGGAAAATAAGATTCTGAACAGAGTAGTATGTATTATATAATGTATTTTCTCCTTGTTACAAAAGTTAACCGAAAAATCGACAAAAATCAAACGACCACGAAAAAAAAAATATTAGTAGTAACCACTGGTAAAAATTCCCGCATCTTTTATGGTATGGCATGAAAAAAACTGGAACATTTTGACGTAAAAGAGTTTTCCGTGAAAAAAAACCCATTTTTGTAAAACTAATAGCTTCTTCGTTGTATTCTGAATTTAAAATACGGTGATACCGATAAGAAACGGGGCGCTGTGTGCTTTTCGGCCAAGATAATAACCCGAGCGCAGTTTACATATCCAATTTTCTTTTTACCATGGGAGCAGTTTACGATCGTCGAGGTTTCATTCGAAGAATTTTTCTCCTTCCCGTTCCCCCACGTCTCGACGGTGCATTAAAATATATATTTTATAATAAGCTGTGCATAAGTCATTAATTTGTTTTTGTTTTCGTTTCTCATCGATAGTTTACATTTAAATAATTTATTTTTATAATCTTTTAAAGACAGTAATTAATTATTAAGATAAAAAAAAAAAAATAAAAAAAAAAATAAAATAAAAAATTAGCGGAAAACTTTAACGCGAAACGTGTTTATGATACTAATTTTTTATCTATAAACGTCAGATTTCTCAACATCTAACGGACCGGCCGGTAAATCCTTCCTTCCTTATTTTCGATTTTTTTTTTCGTTGTGTTCTTTATTAAAATTTTACCGACTTACGGATTTAACCGGCGTCCTAAATACAAAATAATATAAGAGTTTCGGAAACTCCCGAATACAATGTAAATTTGTATTACTATACGGTATTTTTATTATTCTCTCACTATATAACGATATAATACACAAACTAAACCTTATAAAAAAAAAAATTTCAGGATCTGACTATAATAATTTAAAATCTGAGCATTAAAAAAAGAAATAATAATAACCGTTCATCTGTACTCGGACGATAAAAATAAGTGAGCGAATATTATGATATGCTGTGTAAATTTTAATAGCGTACCTACAAAAAAAAAAAAAACCAAAAAAAAAAATTATAATATATATGCTTTATTTTATTTTATTTAAAAAAAAATCAATATCTCGTATTCAGCATACCTGTAGGATAATATCTATTAATAATTCGTAACGCTTGATTAGGTTTTTTTTCTCAAAATCGTAAAATTACTATCTCGGCATATTTCATTCGGACATTTGTTTGAAGTTTTGACGGTCTTGAAACTTTCTCTTTTGTCTATGCATAGTTCGTGTAATATAAACCAAAAGTTATGTTGTTATAAATTATACATGTATACGAATATACAATATATTATAATACTTATGACTTTTTTAATCGCTGAAAAAAAAAGTGAAGCAGTACAAAATATCACGTCGTCGTTATCGTGATGTTGAAAATAAAATAATAATAATATGCTTTCGCGTAACGTTATACGTTTGGTTTGGTTTTTTTTTCTTTTGAACGTATTACATTATTTTGTTACAATTTACATTTTTACTGACAAAAAAAAAAAAAAAAAGCACTTAATAATAACGAATGCGTTATACTGTAAAAACAGGAATATCGTGTATTACTTATTTATAACTAGGATTTTTGTCAATATACGTTCAAATTTATATCACAAAAATAATAAACATCCAGGTTGCGGAAACAAAGAAACTCTGCGGAGTGTCATGTTACATGCACGTGAATCTTAAGTCGGAATCTATCCAACTACAGCTGCAGCATCCCCGAATAATACGTAGGAACAATATTATTTGGACCGGTTCGGGGGTTTTGTATAATTTTCCGAAAATCGCTAATCCTAACCCAGACTAACAAAACACACGATTGTTTTATCTTTAGACTGTAATTTTGTTAGCTAGCATTCAATTTTTAAAGTCTTGAAATATACTGGATTGCGCGAAAACAGTTATGTAGGCTGATTTTGTAATAATCTATCGGTTCTGTAAAATCTCAGTTATTGAACAGATTGTGTTTCATTAACGTATTTCATTGTTTGAATAGGGATTTCTTATTGAAATGTTTATTAATTGTATCCCCTATGAAATATAACAGTGCCATAATAATTTAATATGCATTAACAAAAAAATATAAAATAAATTCAATTTCAATTCATCAATTGTATTGGGAGATTTTTAAAAAAAAAAGTAGATATACAATTTTTTTTAAATTTTAAAATCCAAGCCGTCACAGTCCCCAAGAGGATTTAACCTTAACTTTGTATCTTAATCGAGGTTAAGATATAAAGTGATACGAATATCACTAAACCCCCTGGGTCTTTGTGAATAATCAACATTTGAAAAATCATCGTATTTTATCACTCATTTGATGAAGATAACAGTTGTGAAACTGACATTTAATTTATGTTTGACAATTGTTATGTCACCGCACAGAATAACGCTTCGATAATAAGAAAACATGACAACGATAAAATTTTACAGCGATAACAAAATTATAATTAAATGATAAGGATTGTCACATAATAGTTTATATTTATCGTTAAACAGCTGTCCAAATTGTAGGTACAGAACTTAATTTTGTTTAACGACTTAACGACTTGTCAATTTCACAGAACGGATATTAAATTTACAGAAGGGATAGCCAGTTATCGGTATTGTAAATTTGCATGAAACCCGGCTTGGGTGTTGAACATTTCTAAACAGTTAAGCATAAATATTATTATAAAGCAGGTAGTAAATTCGAATACGGCTCATAACTTAAAATCGCAATAATATTTTAAAGTACTTTCGTAATATTATAATACTTATGAACATTTTATGGGGATGGAAATAGCATTTTTCAGATTCAAAAAAGAAAAGGAAACATCTCTAAAAGTCACCGCCTATGCGTAGTCTATCGATTTAAAAGTAAAAACGAGACGTATGTAATAGTAATCGAAATACCTTAAAGATTACAAAATTTCAACGGACAAACAAATATTGTGAAATATTTATAATTCAAATTGGAAGGTTTTCATGTAAAAGATTATTGTTTAATCGGAACTATATAAATTTATTGCGATCAAAGCGTGATCATAATAAGGTTTTACTTCCACATTGATTGTGTTTGTAGATTATTTATCATTATTGTTTAAATATTAATATGCATATGTATATTATATTGATTTGTTCTATTTGTCTATTATTAAAAACACGAATTGATATTCCATTTTAGTTATCGTTTTGATATTTATTATGTATTGCATGATATGGGTTGGGGTGGGGTGCTTTTTCGTACTTATATTTTTTAATATGAATATGTTTAGGAGTCAAAGACTACAAATTTCAAATTAAATAATGTTCTGAACACGTCCCGGAGTGCAAAAATACATGTTTTAATATTATCAGCCAAACTAAACCATTTTGAATATTAATAAATGTTTTAATTTTAAATGTCCCAGATTTCCACCTAGGTACCATACTGATTTTTCGAGTATCAAATCTAATTTTTAGTAAACATTGAATTTTTTTTTAACTAATTCAATTTAGTTTTTTTTTTTCAAAAATTATCAAGCATTATTTATTGATTAACACCCGACATAATATTATTGCTGTTCGCACAGCGTATCAGATAAACTATACATTGTTGCATGGATAAACATTATAATTATATAATGTGTATGATAATGTGTTTCTGTAATATTTATTTCGCACAAATTCATAAAAGTTTTCCTTGATCTTAAGTCTTAAAACTCCACAACAAATATTTCACTTTGAACCTTATTAAATTATTATTATTATTATTATATATAATCAATACAAACGTTCTGGGTATTATTACAATTGCCTTCTTATCATATATTATCCTTTCATTAAACACAGAAACCTACTTGAACACACAAATACTGCAGTATACGTTGTTTGTCCTGCATATTTACTTCTGAAATATGTTATATTTTAAACCTTTAAGACCCATCTTGAATATTATATTATAATAGTTTAAATCGAATAGATATATGCGAATAAACGGGGGTTGTTTGAATAATACAGAAATCCAATATCGTTTTATCGTTCTTTATGTAAATATAAACGCAATACAATATGGCATATCATACGTCAACATGATCAGTAAAAAATTGTTTTAAAACCCACGTATAGATATAATCGTATTTCATTAAATAAGTTACCTATACAATATAGTTGATAAAATGGATTGCAAATAATATGTGAACACACGTTCGTGCATTATTGCACATACATAGGTACATTATATAGGTAGTTTAAGCTTTTAGTTACGGTCGCTCTGATTGGTCGATAGAACAGTATACAAGCATTCGCTATCACGAACGTCCATTATCGGTGTTGGTCAAAACGTGCATCCATCCGAGACCGCCTAAAAGGAGAATTCAAAGACCAACGCGGCGAGAGAAAACCCGATTAAATTGACCGTGTGAACAAACTATGTTCTAGAAGAAGATTGCACTCTTGTGTGTGATTTCGGAGAAAAAAAACACCACGTAGAAAATAAAACCTAACATTATATCGACTATAGATTTCTCTCCGTGATGATAGTAAAACACGGTAAACACGCAGATAACGAATAGATATGTAAAATATTGAAATTATTTGAAAATGCTTAAATTCCCGCATTATCGCGTGATCGAAATTAGAAAAATCCTTATAATTACATTTCGCTTTTGTCACGCAGTCGGATAGGTTACATACAAGGTAATATCAACGGTAAATTTGCCGTAGTAAATGATGACGTCATAGAAATACGCCATACGACTTAGGTTCTCAAAGCTGTTTTAGAATCCAAGGTTTTTTTATGGTTTTATTCTTGTATCGGAGTACCTATATAAAAAAAAATCCGTATAGAAGTAACCGAAATGATTAAATGTCAGTCTACCGGGATCACTGTATGCAGGGCCGGTTGCTAATGGTAAGAAAATCGCCGAGATTTAGTTTCGAAAATGTCGAGCTTCGGATATTTCTATGAAAATGATTTCCATCAAACAACAAATAGCGAACCTTTTTTTTTTTTATTTTTTTTTTTTTGACAACAATTGCTACTGATATCAAAATGATTATTGACTAGTCAAAAATCTTTTTAAATTGTCTGCGGAAAAAAAATTCTACGCAGAACGGGCATGTGCTATCAGTAATAATAATATTACCATTGACGCGATTTAATTAATACTATAACAACGTAAGAAATATTACTAAAAACGAAATTATAATTTACTATGCCTAATGCCCGATGAACAAATTCTATATTTTTTATTTTTGTAACAGACGTGGTGGTGAGTTTAAACAAACTGAATATTTGCGGTTTATTATCTACGTTACCGTCCTATCGATAACTGCAGAAATAAACAAATACGGTTTATTTTACAAAAGTTTTTGATCAACTTTCCATCAAAAACGCAAATTTATATTATTTACTAACAATATTATTGTTAGACCTATAGTATAAAAAATATATTGAAAATTTTACAAAATAGAAAAAAAATAACACGCGTAACATAATAAACGCTGCGATTTGAACCAATGGCTTATATTAACTATTACATGATAAAAAAACAGGCTGATACTGCTTGTGAGTGTGATATTGTTTGAGTAGGGAAATTGAAAGGGAAAAATGTTTACTATAATTTAATTTATATACGTACGCAACGATATACCATTGTTAACAAAAAAAAACAATTCTGAACGGAATATTATTAATCATATTTTTTCCCTTGTTTTCAATTTGACCTAACATAAAAAAGAAATAAAAACATAAAATTGTCAGTTTTTTCACTTATTAAAAAAACTGCAATGTAAATCAAATATAAATTGCTCAATTCATCAACTCTATACAAGTGGATCATAATTAATATTTCGTATAAAGTTTTTCATTGAAGCATGACATCTGGTATAAAAGTTGTTTACATAACACTTAATAAAAAAAAAAATCATATTAAAACCAATACATTTCTCGCTTCGCTCAGAATTTAAAATGTATATGCGTGATGGTGATAATATACGTAGTTACCTTAGTTAGGTTATATGTTTTGTATAATTTATAATTTTTATAAATGCGTAGCTGTTAACATTTTAAATTTGTTGATTGATGTACTTATACAGTTATAGGCAAAGCAAAGCAAAAAAATATTCACTCTACACAATGAATAATAAACGAATGGGTAGGCATGGACATTATTTATTTTTGTATTCTTTAGTACATAATATGGTTGATTTCTCTGACGCATCCACTAATCGAAAATTATTCCGGACGCAATTCGTGTAAATTCTAACAGCCAGCGGTATTGGTTCAATGCGGGGACCGAGGCAACGTTTCAAAAATTTCGGAATATCACAAGGGGATGGGTAATTTTTCGGTTTCTTTAAAAGAATCTTGAACATTATCAAAAAAATCTATAAATACTGTAAATAATTGTCATTATTAACGTATCAAAAATCTGAAATACTGACTTTAACGTGGCTAAATTAATTGAATTAAAATAAAGTTCTCTTTGGCTTATGTTGGGTTAACTATTCAATAATTAGTTAGAATATTCCCTGAACTCATCTGCTATTTCTACTCCTAACTCTCCTTCATTTTTTCCCATAAGTTGCGTTAATAACTTAGTATTTCTTAGTGATTATTTGAAAAAAAAAAAAAAAACACAGAATAAAAGTTATAGAATTTGTAAAACCTTCGTGGGACACTGTTTATGCTATGAATTATATAATAATATGAAACACATATGAAATTGTTTCTATCGGTTTCCGCATCACATAATTCGTGTCACGGACAAACATATTATATCATGGGTACCTATTAATATTAATCATTACAATTATACAAATTGCAAAATGTCTCATACGGGACTCGTATCATACAGTCGACTATCGTTTAATAGAAAACAAACGTTGGAACGCTGTAGTCGCAATCGGTAACGGGGCTACTAGTCATAGACGCGTGATTAAGAAACGACGAGATTTATATTTTAGCCCGTAGATTTGACAAATTCTTAAATTGATTATGTATGTTTTATAGTTCCGTTACAGAATTGCTAGCCGTCGCCACCAGGTGTCAGCCCATTTGTTTTTTTTTTTTTCACGATGATTAGAACCTATTTGATTGTTTTAATACACTCGTATCTACGGTGCATTACACTAGGCCACGTGATTTGATCTTTATTGGCTATATTCGAGTAGGCACGTTTACCATCGCTAACTACGCGCATACAGTACTCGTACGTACACAATACCGTCGAGACGAATTCCCCAGATTTTATTTCGAAACCACGTAACCACGTCGTCATCACCGTCCCAACCGCGACAATCAGACATTTTACCATCGCTGCGTATATATGTATATATAAGTATACAAGAGTATGCGTCTTCGCGTGTTGCGCTTAGAAATTAATTTATTTTCCGCGCGTTTGTCGTAATTGGTCGGTGTAGTGTACGCAAGATAATAATATTATTATTACTTAAGATTAAGATAAAATCCGTAATCTATTTTCTTCGCGGGGTGCTCTAAACTGGCTGCGGTACCTTACCAAAAAATATATTATGTAGTATTATGTTGTATATACGGGGATTTTTAGCTTAGAAACCGAGCAAATTGTTGTAAGTTTTTTTCCCTCGCGTTTTATAGGTATACTTATACACGTATAATAAGATAAATAGGCGTTTCCTCAAGTACCTGCAGGGTACCCACGTAATAAAATACAAATTTATACTATCCGGCTAAAAACGCATGGCTTTTTTTTTTATATATATATATATAATATATTATTATTATATACGCGCTTTCTGAACTTCATAACACTTTCTTTTTTTTTTAAAAAAAAAAACTTATCAGGATCACAGGTTTAAGTAGGTATGCACAAAAGTCACGTAAATACATTGAATAATAAATAACGGCGAATGTAGGTATAATACTTCCATTATATTATACAGTTTTCGTTCAACCACCTTCACGCGATGACATTAATTTCACATTGTTATTTATTATTACGCGGCGCCAAAGATGAAATGTCGTACAATTTAATATCTACAACGGCCGCGGCGAGGTAAATGTATATGACATGGTACACGAAAAACGTTCAAGATGAATATTATTCGATAGGCCCGAAATCGTTTCTATACGTAGAGGTACCTATGAAATCGGAAACAATGCGAATAAACTACAGTGATGAGCCGGTTTAGGTCCTCGGTTCTTCGGTTCCGTTTGGTCTTAAAGAATCGACGGAACCCATAAATTATCTAGCATGGTCATTTATCGGCTCTGGTTCTTATTTTTTTTTTTTTTTTGTGTGTTCACGTTGGTTTTAATCATTTGTTTCTTTCAGTAAATGTCGGTTTTTAACACTAAATTACACTATAACACTAAACACTGCAGATAATTGATCGAAAAATTCGCAATTGTATGAACTATGTGATGCGCGTTTGAAGTTATTATTTCACGAAAATAAGAAACAATAATAAGAACCGGTATTGAAACAAGATTTCGAAAACAATCGAACGGATTCTATTCGATGTTTTCCAGATCGGCTACTAATGCTGATCATATCCCGGAGTTGGTTTTTCGACGGAATTACATTTACAGACGGCCATGATCACTCCGTCTCGTGAATCGTACCTTAGAGAATTTAGCGTTATTTAATTATAAACGTTTTCTCGTGATTCTTGCCATCGCATTATTTGCACAGTTTCCCTTAACTACCGAAGTTTTGTCAAAGTATAACTTACAGCATACTGTAAATTAACATATCTTGAAAAGTAGAACTGTAGTAGGACTCATAATGAAGGTAATTTTTAACGGTTTAAACATCGCTTTAGAAAAAAAATCTATAAGGATATATTGCCAAAAATAGCCAGCGTTGAAATTTAAATTCCGAATTTCCTTCCTAAACGTTTTCAAATAGGACGTTTTCTTTTTTTTGATCGTTTTAAAATTTGAAAAATTATAATATTCCATATTGCATTATAGGTAATACACCTATCTACAATGGCCTTATTCTGTAATGAAGTGATCGCAAAGCGAAACGAGTGGCTACGCGCGCGACGAACAATGGATTTACTGTCCCATTTTTTTTTTTTCTTATTTAAACTTATATAACTGTACTAAGTACGCAATATAAAATACGTTATTTTTCGTATAATGCTTAATCGATATAATATTATGGGTAAAAATGTATTTTTTATATTACGAGTATATGTACAATTAGGTATACAGCTATATAATGTGTATAGTAAAGTCTTACGACAAAAATAAAAATCCAAGTATTATTACAATACGTAAAATATCCGAATTTAATAACGTTTTTGTAAACGTTATATGTACAATATAACGCAATGAACCGAGTAAAACGATTTACAACTATACCTACTCGTATAAACACTGTTATAACCATATTCTGTAAATACTTGTGTATTTTTCATGAATTAATATCAAACTATACCCATATTCTCATTAATATTAATACCTGTCTTATGGAAAACGTTGTAAATTATTATTTCACAGGATTTTTTTTAAATGCTGTATATATAGCGAAGGTACACACC